CCCGGGCTTGCATAGCCTGCGCTGCATTGGGGTTATATTGCTGGAAGGTAGCCTGCAACGGGCTTTGCTGGAAAGTCAAGGGGGATGCCTGCTGTGTTTGATAACCTCCAGGGGGAGTGGGACTATGATGATATTGTTGGTGAGCTGGCTGCGGTTGTTGTGCAGCAGTGTAGCCGTGAAGATACTGGTTCTCGGATTGGCTTTGCTGCTGCGGCGGCTGCTGCTGTTGTGGTGGCGGCTGTTGCTGCTGTTGGTGCTGGGGTTGCTGCGGTAGAGGCGACGGACTAGCCTGAGACTGGGTCTGTTGGGGCTGTTGTTGATGCTGTTGTTGAGACTGCTGCTGAGACCGTCGGAGGCCATGGCCCTGTAGGGCAATCTGCGCAGCTCGGGCAGCACGCGCAACAAGGTCACCATGCATGTTTCGGTCCACCGGGACTTCAACTTGTTGATTGAGTGAGAATTGGCCCTGGTGGGTGGTGTTGGGTGACTCGTGAGCATCACCATTTGAACTCGAGGGCTGACGGCCTTTGACAGTTTTCTTTCCCTGGATTATATTAGCACAAGCACAACAATTGAGAAAATATAAAGGCAACAAACGAACCTGTTGGGTATTGATGGTGTCGAAGTTCTTTGAAATGTAGGAGCTAAGGTCTCGGAGGAAATCTTCCCAATGATACTTATCCGGCAGGGCATTTAACGCTTCCTCGTTGTTGATCTCATTGAGAAGGATGTCACGGCGAGAGGTGAGGCGGTTCACAAAATCTGTCTCGGATGGTGCCAGCTGCCGGGTACCAGGACGTCTCGCCAGCAAGCGCTGTTCCATGTCATCCGGGAACAGATTGTAGAGGAGCTGCGTACGGGTGAGAGACTTGTTATGCATGGCTGCGATGAAAGCCTGCGTCTTAAGTTCTAGGTACAAAGCACCTTGAACCTTAAGTAGACGACCACCTTCAGGGACAAACACATCTAGGAAATGATCATTGAGGTCCGCAAATCCAATCTCCTGAGATCCGAAGATGCTCGAGACAAAAGACGCTAGGTTCGCTTTGCGAATGACATCAATTTGAGAAGGGTCTGTGATTTCAAGGTCCGTAGGCTGAAGGAATGAATGCTTGACGGTGTAAACTCGCTTTGTGTGATCAAACAAGGAGCGCATGGTGGCATATGCTTGGCCGTTTTCGGAGTCAGGTTCGGATACCATAGCAGTGAGGTCTTGATAGGTGTTCTTGGAAAGGAACGACAAGATTTGCGTAGACTAGGAAGTGATGGGCAAATGTTAGGAGACAGAGATCACGTAAATAGTATCAATTGAACTCACGAGATTGTCTAGAATAGGGAGACTCTGAATCTTGAGGTGAGAGTTAGCCTTGAGGAAAGCAAAACCTCGGGCTCCCGGGAAATCATTCGTCGGTGGTATTTCCTGAGGTCCCATTGCGACAGTTTGCTCCTGGCGCTCTGTGTGATCCATGATCTCGGAAATGATTGTGGCAACGTCGGGATTAAGATCAGTATTACCGTCCTGGGTGGTCGTGACCCCGGTAGAGGTGACAGGGTTGTCGTGAGTGCCATGCTGAAGAGTTTGGTTTACACTATGGTCGGTTTGCTCAACGGTGTCAATAACGCCTTCACCGAGAGCTGATGCCAATTCTTCTTCAATTTTGTGACCAGGGCCATGCTGATCAGCCATCAAGATGACTTCGTCAGGCAGAGAAATATCACCGTCGGGGCCATCGCCTGTACGGCGCTTTTTGGCAGCCGGAGGTGAGCCATGTTCCTCATCATCGAGGGAGTGAGGCACTTTTTGGTCTATGATACGAATTTAAGTGGTAAGTATTGATTCCAAGATTATATTGAGCTTCATCGGTGGTGACGGTAATAGGGTATGGGTGGGAGGTGGTCGATGGCTGGTGAACGGGACGATCGGATGGGCGCTTGAAGAGAACACTTACCAATGTCACCTCCATCAGAGGGAAAAGGAGGAAAGTCAGATGTTTCCTGGCCATCGAATGATGGCCGCGCGCCTCGAGTCTCGACCATTTGGACGAAGCGCCTGCCTGGGGTCGGGGTATCAACTTCCGAGAGCAGAAATGAGGGCTTAGGGGTAGGGCGCATTTGTAGGGCTTGCGAAAGAAGGATGGAGGAGCGAAAAGATGATTTTTCTGCCGGGCGGTGAATGTTTAAAGGTGATGGGTGGAAGCGTACATATTAAAAAGTATGTGCGTGGAGATGAAAGTCAGAAAGGTAGATGGGGGGAGGGGGAAGGAAAGTTTGGTAGAAGGTGCGTGGTTGACTTGATAAAAGTGCGCTTGCTTTACGTCGTAATACACAAGTATCTACATCATTCGTATTCGTCATACTTTATAGAAATCTATAGAAAGGTACCATCATTAACTTATGTAGAATAGCTTAGCTGCATATCATCTTGTTTTAGTGCTTATAAGCCTGTCTTTTATTAAATAATATAGACCAACTGTTGAACCCGGGGAGACAATCTTATTTCTTATTAATTATCAGATCTATATATCCTCAAGCAAATTAGGGACATCTAGCAAAAGATTGTCAAACAAAGTAGGGATATTGATTTCTTTCAGTGGAACCTAATCCAAAAATCTGCTGCCAAAGGGACTCTAGTTTTAAAAGCGTCTAGCACTTCAAAGGGCGAAAAGACGAATCTGCCAATTTGATGAGGTAGGCTGAAACCCTGAATTTTAAGCATAGCTTCGAAATCTTTCCTAATCCAAATTTCATTGCTCAAGATTTTGTGCAAACTAATGGTTTTCGATTTCTTGTTACGAAGACATGCCCACTGTAAGTCCTCTCGGCGATTTTCAGTTTCATATCCGTATACTGGTGTTTTTGCCACACTCAACACTTTAGACGTTGCTCCAGTGTTTTTCCATGTATTGCCGTGCTGACATGGGAATAACAGTAGGGCATAGTCTGTTCACCACTGGCTGCAGAACTACCTCATCTTCTAGATCCCGGGTATAAGCTAGTTTGAACTCAGCCCACATCAACCCCATAAAGTCGTCCTGTGCGGTCTCTCCGAGCTTCATTTCAAGATGCCTAGGATTGACCACATCGACCTGGAACTTCTTTCCCGTGACGGCTTCTGCATGGGTCAACAGCTCGCCCATAGTGAGAGTATCTCCGACCATAGTCATGTCTTCCTCCCACTCTGGCAAGTCTAAAGACGCCGCCATGAAGCGACCCACGTCTCTCAGAGATGTCATGCTGATGCGCGGCCACCGGCCATCCTCAGTCTGAGGTAGCTCGGCAACTCCATTTCTCAGCCCAACTAGAAACGCTCCGGAGCCATCTTTCAGATCTCCTTGCCGCTGCAGACCCTCGCACGCTTCGTCTTCGCCAGCGGCGTAACCTTTCCCAGCTGCCAACTGTCGAAGCGTCGTTTCCTCATCACTGGTTGGCGATGGAATTGGATACATTCCGTGGCCAATGTAGTTCATGAAGGACCCAATGTTAAACTTGGCACACTCGATTTTGTCCTTGTTCTTCACGCACGCATCCCACACACCCTCATTCCCCCACTTTAGAACGGAGATGTTCTCCGACCCTATTGGCCCAAAGCCCCATTGTGTCGGCGCAAAGCGTTTGCAACCCGCTTTAACCGCGGCCTCCAGCAAGTTTATTTGTATTTTTGCCTGGGACCCATCCACAGCCGACATAACAGAAACAACGGTGTGGACACCGTTCAAAGCGGCTGCGAGGGAATCGACGGAATGATAATTTACCGCTTGAATCTGGACACGCGTTCCGTCTTTGTCGATGGCGCGGAGCCAGAGGGGAGCACTCAGGTTGCGTGAGAGAATCACTATGTTCCAGAAACTTTGCTCAGAAGAGATGATGGCAGTGATAATGGCACGGCCAAGGCTAGCAGATGTTCCTCCAGCAATGGCTAGGGTAGGCATGTTCAACTTCTCTGCGTTGGGAGTAGTATTTGATAAAGCAGAGGATACTGAAAACAGATTGTATAAAAGGTGCAGAGATATTATTTATAAAATGTAAGGAGGAGCGGATGTAGAGATTCCCGGGTCCCTTGTTCCATTTCCATACGCCGAGCCCGGAAGCCTAATCGTCGTTGAATTCTTGCCCACTCATCATTAGCCAACGGCTTGCTTGACCATTTAGGTGCATGGAAACAGGTCGTCGGACCCCGCGGGAGCCGCTGCCCAGACGAGAACTTCCCCACGTCCCAGTCCGTGTCAGCGGCCTGTGCTAATCCGCCCGCCGAACCCAGTCGCGCGAGCGGAGAGAGAATCTCATAACTAGGACCCAGTACCCGTGGACAATGATCTAATGAAATGAATGAGTGCAAATCAGACTATACAGACTATACCCAGAAACGATATCCTTGGTCTTAGCCTCCGTCTTTCCCTGCCTTTCAACAGCTCATTTATAGCCGAAAAAGCTCACAATGGCATCTGTGCTCCCCACAATTCCTCGCTATTTCTTCTGCTTCATCGAACCCACGCTGCTCATCCTTGCGTTCGCAACAACCTCCATGTTCCCATCGTACTACGTGTCCACCCAGTCAAAGCTCGCACCACTGCATCGTCTGCTGTCAACCGAACAAATCCTTTCATTCCAACTCAGCAATCTCTTCTTCTTGATTGCCGTCATTGAACTTTACATCTTCTTCTCAACGACGGATACCAAGGCAGTGCAAGCATTGATAACAGCCCTTTGGTGGGGCGACCTAGGACACTTAGGAGTTACGACGTGGTGTATGGGCGCTGCGGCACTGCGAAATCCACGATCTTGGAGCTTAGTGAACTGGGGAAATATTGCTATCCCTACGCTTTTGTTTACCATGAGATCACTTTATCTTGTCGGATTTTTCGACAGTGAACCATATGCAAAGCATGGCGAGTGGTCATAAGCACATGTAAAAATCCGACAGAGAAACATGTGCGAAGCTTTGGGCTCTGTTGTTTCGGTTCGTAGGCAAATACTGTAGAAAGATGACTAGATTTGATATATTAATTGACAATTTCGGCTTTCATGTCCCCATTCAGATACCACCATGCCTGCGCTACTTCTAAATCCAGATTCGAACTCTTGATTGGCACCATGATGTCTGCGCCCTTTCCATCTTTGACATATATAACACTATGCTCCTGTTTATGTGCAAAATTAGCCTCATCGTACTATTGGCAACAATTATAATAACGTAAATAACACGTTAGGAACTCACCGGGCCTAAGGTTAACTTCAACATGCCGTCAATCGCCTTAGGTTTGTACGGACGCAGCTTGGTCCCTTTGATCAATGCCAAAATATTCTCACACACAAGCTCAGCCTGTGCCATTGCGGTTCTCCCCATCTTTGGCCCTTCAGTCTCAGCGACATCGCCGAGAGCAAAAGTGTCCAGGTGAGCGTCACCGGCGAGCTGCAGAGTTTGTCGGACGAGTATGCGCCCTGTTGTCTTCGAGAAGTTTGATGGTATGAAAGAGGAGAGGAATTTCGTATTCGGCGTTGCGCCAACACATGGAATCTGTTCGCAGTGAGATAGTTAACAAAGGATGCGCCCGCGACTCGCAGTAACTGACGGAGGGAAATCTCACAACCAGATCAAACTCTGTTTCGCTACCATCCTGGAAGCCCAAAGCCACGCTTTTTGAATGCCGCCGTATACGGCTCCAGCTCCTGTATGCATTGACGATATATGCGGTCTTTCTTTCAGCATAACTTTGATGCCCATCTCGTCCAATTTTGCCTCTACAAAATTGCTCAGTCTCTTTCTAAACCTATTCAGTACCCTTTCCCTCGAATGTATCAGTGCAACCTCTTTTGCAGGAAATGCGCTTTTGATGTCGGCCGCTAGTTGCACTCCTACAGCTCCACCTCCCACGATTGCTATCCTTACTGCTTGTTGAATCTTCATCCTTAAGCTCCTTAGGTCCGCACAAGCCTCATCTTTATGGGGCGATGACATCTTCGCTGGCAAGGGCTGCTGTAAACCAGTAGCAATGGCCAAGTAGTCGAACGACAGCTTCTGTCCAGACTGTAACAGGATCTCTCTGTCAGTAACAGAGTTACTGTGTCCCTGAGTAATACCCAACTGCCCTCGGGTGCCCCCGGAAGGCATCGTTGTAGGGTATGAACGCCATTCTTTCCTCGCCTACAACCGAGTAGCGGGGGAAATTGAATGTGAAATTGAAATGCGAGTTCTTTTCCACGATCACTACGCGGAAACCGGAGGCAGCGTTTGGGAAAGCCGTTTTGCGAGCTGTAGGCCGGCGAAAGACCCTCCAATCACTACCACATTGCGGGTATCTGGAGAGGCGTGGTAGGTGAGCCGATGATGTAAGGCGCGGATTTGTTGGAAGCGATTGTGAAGATGGATTCAAATGCAACGGGTGCAAAGTTGGTAAAAATCCTAATGTATTCTGGAGCCATTGGGTTTCAGGCTAATAAATTGCACTGGTGAAGCACGAAAAAGAACAGTGTGTGAAGAATCAACTCTGGTTATCACAATAACCCCATTCCAGCTCTCCAAACTTAAGTTGAATACGAGCCCATTGCAATCTGCTTTTCAACCCCATGGTCCGCCATTCCTAGATGCAGAAAGCGGCATCGGAGTGAGCGGCCACGGGAAGACATACTTGGCGCCAGGACTCGGCCTCGGTGTTACAAGTATATCCGTATTGTTAAATGACGTAATCAATCTCGGCCTCTTGCCAACCCGAGACTGAAGCTCCGAATCCGCTCCCTTTCCTGCTTTGGCATCCATCCTATTGGCAGAACCAAGGATGGAAAAGTTAGCGGTACGGCAGGTTTTAGACGCCATCGCGCCAACCGGGTTTTTGCCTGGCAGAAAATTAGTAATAGTAATATCACTATAAAAGAGAGTGATGATCTTATCTTTGAATGGTTCTAGATTAATTTGAGGGGAAGCTGAGGAATCATGCAGGTCCCTAGGGCTGAGTATACAGGTGAGAGCAAGGCGGTAAAATAGGCGGTAAACAAATTATATGGGTTGGCGCAACGGCGTCTAAAACCTGCCGTAAGCGGGTCCCGCTCTCTGGAACTTCCGGTCCGAGACACTAAAACCCATGTGGGTTTGGCCGCCGAACGCAGTATCTATTTACCTACTCACGGCGGATCCGGTTGGGAGTCTTTGAGACTTTGGCTTGAGATGCCGTCATTCTTGCGAGGTTACCTATGCCGATATTTTGAATGGTCTGTGAACGCGGCGAAGAATACACCTGCAATTCTATAACAAAACTGATCAGGGACATCAGCTCTCATTTACACTTCTCAAATCATTTGAAACGTCTCGGCAAGACCCTGCATGAAATTGCGGCAATCATTCCTTGGGACGGCAAAATAAATCGTCGACTCTCGATCGAATTACAATATAACTAACTCTCAGAATACGGCTTGAGAAGCTGAATCGCTCGCTGTTGGAACAAGAATAACGCAAGGACTGCCAAAGCGAAATTCTTCTCAAGAAACTGATGAGGTCACCAACATTTACTCCGGATACTGCTTTTCGAGCACAATCTATCGTTTAAATATAATTCACATATCATAGTTACTGGGCCGGGCTGCGGCTTGTGCCCGCTCTCATTATTTCAGTCCTACGTTTGCAAATTAGGAATCATCATTTGGATAAAGAATATTCATATATTTGGTGCTTGTTTGTGCGGCGTATTCAGCCGTCGTTGTGTATTGAATTAAACCATTTGGTGAGGAGAAATGGTACTACCCAGAGTAAAAGGAATATTCTCCGTGCCCGTATCAGCTCATGTATTCTCAACATTCATTTTGATATCCGCAGGCATATCGGGGTGTGATGTGATCACATGACATATTGCCCGCCACCTAGTTAACAGCAAACGTTCCTTTTTTACCCTTGAGCCCTTTTGCGCCACTTCCATCACTTCACTACCAGTAGGGTATCTAGAAATTCGCGTCACCTAGCCCACCAAACTCAATTGGATGCATATAATGATGGAGCGACATCTGGAAGCTCATTGCCCCAGCCGAAAGCCACTACATAATGTCCAGCAGAATTCAAAGTCAAGTACGATTCAAGAAGAAGCTATCAACACAGAAGGGACAGCCAATGGGATTGGCTCGCAGAATATTTGGTCTTGCGCTGCGTGCAGGAGAAGAAAGGTTAAATGTACCGTCGACTACCCCAGTCCTATTTCCTATGCATTTCTTGAACCCTCTTGGCACAATCTCACATAATTTTGGACATATAGGCGACAGGATGAATCCTTGCAGTACCTGTGTTCGAACCAATATTGAGTGCGTGACATTTTCTTCTAGTACATCGTCCCGAAAGCCCCGTAAACGTCATGCAGACGACATTCTCGAGCGCCTGACACGGCTAGAAGATGTTATAGCTTCCGTGAAATTTCCGAAGCAGGGTGGTATCAAAGGAGGTGATTTGCCGTCGTTTCTAAAAGAGAATGACGAATCTGAATTATTTCGCCGGTGGCGAAAGGTGTCATACGGCTGCAGTTCGAGTTCAACCCCCTTGAGAGGGGATAAACATCATGGGCAAGTGCTATCAGGCGATGAGTGCGTGAACCCATGGCCAGAGTATGGGGTCGGCAAATTGGTGCCCAGTGAAGGGGGAAGTCGTTACATCAACAACAATTTCTGGATAAGTATAGACCAAGAGGTATGTCCTACGTGAAGCATGGTACAAAAACAATCGCAATTAACCACACGAAGGTTGAGGATCTCAAGAGCAGCTTGGTGGAGCTTTCTGACACCGAAGACGATCCGGCTTTCCCCTCAGCACTGCAAGACCCAACGCTTGGTCAGAGTTTTGTATTTGGCCATCCTTCTAGCAACGCCGAAATGGCGACACTGCATCCCCCTTATCAGTTAATACCATCCATGTGGAGCCTGTTCAAAACGAACGTCGATCCACTTGTGAAAGTACTTCATATCCCCACGATGGAGCCAAAAATATCAGAAGCGCAGGACCACTTGGGTAGCCTATCGAGAGGAACTGAAGTTTTGATGTTCGCTATTTATTACAGTACGAAGTTCCCCGTCGCGTAATCAGCCTCGGCTTTTTCCTACGTCCTAACCAATGACATGTAGGCGTCGTAACGTCTCTGACATCAAGGGACTGTATTGGAGAACTCGGTGAAACCAAAGCTGTCCTCTTGGCCCGGTACCGTTTCGCAATTGAAAACGCACTTACCCGTGCACGCTTCCTCGATACCGCTGACATAACTGTACTGCAAGCTTTCGTCATATTCCTCACTGTACATAGACGGGATGACGATGCAAAGATGGTATGGGCATTGACAGGCCTAGTGGTAAGGATCGCACGAATGATGGGAGTGCACAGAGATGGCGTTCACTTCCGTCTTGCTCCATTTGATGTTGAGATGAGAAGGAGATTATGGTGGCAGGTGTGCCTTTTAGATGCAAGGGCGTCGCAAGTCTCCCTTTCCCTCTATGATTATTAATTCCCAGCTAATCATGGTTATCATTTAGGGAAGATCATGGGTACGATGTCACTATTGCCGAGACTCAGTTTGATACCCAAATGCCTCTGAACGTCAACGACACCGACCTTGACCTTGACATGTCTGAACTTCCAGAATCTCGCAAAGGGTTCACTGATATGACCTTTTGTCTCGTTAGCTTCGAGCTCGCAAACGTTTTCAGGCGTATCGTTCACGTACCTTCACGTTCCGCACAGCCTAACTTCTCGTTCTCAGCGCTGGCTGACGAACAGAAGGAGGAATGGATTGCACAGTGCAGACAAAGGATGCAGGACACATATATCGCAAATGCCAACATAAGTTTGCCACCTGTCTGGGTCGCTGCAACGCTCACACGTCTTATCTTATCGAAAATGTCATTTATGGCATACCGCTCCTTTCAAGGGGTCGACGGCAGCGAAAGGTGGTCTCAGCAGATCAAGGATAAGCTCTTCCTTGCCTCAGTTGAGGTTGTCGAATACGCAAACCAACTTAACAACGATCCTCGTGCCCAAAAGTGGAGCTGGCTGTTCGGCACATACGTCGAATGGTACTCGATTACCTCACTGCTCTCCGAGTTATGCAAGAGTACTCAAGGTGAGCTTGTCGAGCGTGCCTGGAAGGCCATAGATGTACTGGTGGACACACAGGTTGGCGACGCACAAACAGACCCCCGGCGTGCATTTTTGCGGCGGCCGGTGAGGGGGCTGATGGTGAAGGCCATGATGGCAAGGGAGCAGGCCCTCATGGCTGAGCCTTGTCTATCTGTACCACGTTCTTCTAAGCCCTTTGCAGCCTATCCTGCAATAGATAAGTTGCTAGACTGGGCGAACCTCAGTCGCGCACTTTCTAGGCAAGTCCAGTCGCCGAATGCAAAAAATACCACGATGCACGATACGTTCGCACATTCTTCTCAACAGGATGTTAGTGGGCTGTTGGGTATGGGTTTCGACTGCCTTATGACAGACGATATTGATCCGCGGGTGCCTGTGTATGGACAACTGCAACCAGGTGCCTGGGTGGATGAGCAAGATAGCCGGCGGCTGGCGCATCAAGACACGACACAGGTAGTGCCAATTGGCGCGAATCATCAGCAAGATATTCTCAGTATGTGCGAGACAGGAAACGAGGACATTTGGACAGAAATATTACCGGGATATGAGACACACAACGGGGGTTTTTCATCAGCTATCGAATAGAAACCGGCTTCGATCGGTTGGACGTTCCACGGACCCTCAAGGAAGATGCACTACACCCGTTATCGTGTTTTATCCTGGATTTAAAGAACGATATTGCCCGACGATGCCGATCTTTTCAAGGCCTCCATTTACCCCAGAGAATCACGATCGACGATCTTCGCTTTTCACCTGACCCAGATCTCGTTGTGAAAATGGAACGATTGCGTGATCTACATCAAAACACTCGCTGCCTGGAGTCTTTCAGTCTAGCTTGTTTGGCTTGTTTTTTGTGACACATGTACCTGGTGCTCAATACTGCCACGGATTTTAACTTTTTTCCACAGTTGCCACTTCATTCCAGAGCTTACAGCGTGTGTCAGCGCGCGTCCCCTATCCCATCGTATTGCGCGACAAGCCTATTTCTAGATCATTTACTACTTAACCAAAATACGGACTAGTGTGGTTTCGGGTGCGAGCCGAGAAACAACGAATGCGTCTAGGGGGAAACTGTTTTCGACCCTCACTGTAAGAGCCCTTGTGTTGACGCGGTATAAGAAAGCCGGGGGGGGGGGATCTATGGTGCTGTCGGCCTGCAATGTTTCCTGTGGTTGAAAGCGAGAGAACATTGAACGGGCGGTGTTTAATGACAAAATCATATTACATTTAGTTATAATTACCGCTCAAGATTGTTGAAATAGCAGGGTTCCGTCATTTTAGTTAGAGTTCTCAATATCGGTCATCCATACCATACATTGTTCGTACACTAGCTTTCTGTCGATATACATATACTAGGAGTGCGTCAGATTTCGGTCTGTCAACTCTTGGCTTGGATTGGCTCGTGTGGGAGAAAAATAAGAAAATACTACCTACGTATGTAGATATCATCACATTTTCCTTATTTCTCGATTCAGAGAAACCTATGGTACCTTACGTATGTATGTGAATTGTAGGTCGGGTACCTCACCCAGGGCAGGAGGCTAGTGCCGTTTTAAGACTAGCGTATTTAAGTATATCTTCAGCAATTTGTTCACATCGGTGCCTACATGTAGGCTACTGGTAATTTGATGGAATTTTGTTATGTAGAAGGCATTCTATTACTCTCTGTACTATGATCTGTACTATGATCTTCAATTACTAGTGTATCACTTAGGCATCTATGTAGGGTGGTGTATATAAAATCCCGTCGACTCTCCCTGCCGGATAGTTTGTGCGCGTCATCAATTCTATGAATCCAATTGAGCTGTGATGGATATCGATACAAGAAACCCACCCTGGAAGATTCGGTCATGATACTTTCTGAATCTATAAATCGAATGAAGTTACCGCACTGAATAATATATATCCTGGTTGACTTATGAAATTGAGTCTTACCAACGTCCACTGGGTATTGTTAGCTCCCAAGGGGGTTTCAAATATCTTTTCAAGCCACCACATGCATGCCTTTTTTTTTTTAAAAAAAAAAAAAAAAAAGTTCGAAATTAATTTTCACGTATGCTTCATGTCGTCAAGATTCAGCTGTTCTCCACTATCCGAAGAACCCGAAAGCTTAAAGTGCCATCAGTTTTGACATCCACGAATAGAAAGCTGGCATGTCTACTTTCAGTAGTACCGGTCCCCGAAAGCGGATATCTCATCCTCTGGTTCACTAGTATATCCTGCCCTAACACTACCATACCATTCGAGGTCTGGACCACGGAGGTTCGAGTTTTCTCTACTAAAGAGGTTGCCCCCGTAGTTTGTAGAGAAAGTATTAAGTCAATTAAGCCTTGCTGTTCTTCGATGCTTGCAAGACCATCTTAATGTACGACCTATTCATCGCTCTCCTGGCCCTGCAGGGTTTGGCGGTTTCAGCCCAAGACTCCCAGTCCACCGAGAAAGTTTGGGGAGTTTTTGCATTTACTGTTCACGGAGACAGCAAGCCTGGTGCGCTCGCCAGCTCTCGGACCTTAACCGACTATGGAGCCAACGAACTCGCGGCAGCAGCCTCGAATTTCCGTTCTCGTTATGTATCTGGAGGCTCTGATACTGGAATCCAGAACATATCTCCAATCATTTTGGACTCAAATGATGTGGATGTACTCTCGGCAACGGACCAGAACATTGTTGGCTCCGCCCAAGCATTCATGCAAGGTCTATACCCACCACTCGGCTCAATGAATGTATCAGATACCCAGATTGCGAACGGATCGTTCGCACAGGCGCCATTGAACGGGTACCAATATCCTCGGATTGTCACCGTCGGCGAGGGAGACCCCCAGTCTATTTTGATTGAAGGTCACGCAATGTGTGCTATGTATGATGCCGCCGAGGGCGAATACCGCGGTAGCGACGAAGTCCAGGATATTACGCGAGATACAGAAGCCTTTTATAGGAAACTGTGGAAACTGGCATTGTCTGGAGTCTACGATGAATCATCCGCAACTTATACGAATGCCGTTTCAATCTCGGAATATTTGGATTATGAAGTTGTGCATAATGACACCTTGCTAGAGAGTCTGAATCACGCCGACATCCTTCGTGCCCGCTCGCTAGCGGACCAGTATGTGTGGAGCACAAACAGCCAACAATCATCTTCCAGAGGGTCTACGATCCGAGTAGTCAGTCCGATTGCAGGGCAGACATTGGCATCGAGCATTCTAGAAGCCTTCGATCTGAATATCCAGGAAAGTGGTACCCGACAGAAGATGACCCTGTTGTTCGGTGGTGATGAGCCAGCTGTTGCCCTGTCATCCCTGGTGGGACTCGCAAACCAGCATCAATCAAACTTCTTCTCCCGCCTGGTACGAGGTGGTTCGTTCGTTTTCGAGCTGTACAGCTTCGAGGACAGCAGCAACTTGTTTCCATCCTATCCTGGAATCGACAATTTGTATGTGAGATTCTTTCTTCACAACGGAACCGACAACACCACCGACTTCCAAGCGTATTCCCTCTTTGGGCACAGTCCCAGTCGTGCCTCAATCTCATATACCGAGTTCCACTCCTCGCTGGAGACATTTGCTGTGGCCTCAACTCAGGAATGGTGCCTCCGCTGTAACGCCGAAACTGTGTTTTGCAATGGAGTGTTAGACCAGGATGCATCTCAGCCAAAGAAAAACAAAGGGATGGCTCCCGCTGTAGCCGGAGTCATCGGTGCTGTCATAATGCTCGCTGTCCTTGGTCTCACAGCAGTTATTGTGTTCCTCATGTGTCGTGCTCGCAAGGGCAAAAATCCCAAGAAAGGAAGCTTGGGAGGGTTCAAGGGCCCTGGTAAACTTGCCAGTGATACCGATGTGTCGTTCAGTGATCCCATATGGAGAAATTCCAAGGCCGATGATACACAGCCATCCAGTGGTATCTCTGCCGGGGTTGGAGTTGCTGTACAGGGCCATGAACGCACTGGAAGCTGGGAGATGGGGCAGGGAAAAAAAGAGATTGAGAATATCCAGCCAGATGGCATGAAAGTGAGGTCGCCTTTTGAGGAGCATGATGAGGATTGGGGTATACACAGTGGTCTTCAACCTGTGAGAATCCGGGAGAGTGTATAGATCGTATTATGTCGTCGCCGAGAATTCGGATTATGTCGTGCCCGTAATTTTGAACCAAAGCCCATTGTCTTTCTTCAGACGTGTGTTCTACTTCCGCCTTCTCGAGCATCTTTCCTGTTTAGGGCTACTATGGTCAACATAAGACGCGTGCTGAATTGCAACAGGCGCGTCGAATATAGACCTCGTGACCCCCAATCTCTGAATAGCCTCGAACCCTCGTTCCTTCTCCATTGACTCTGCACCTTCCACCCGATCATTCTGATTTGTTATTTTTTCATCGAGTTTCATCCTTTCCTTTGTTCTCGACAAGTGGATATTGCATCTCAATGAAAATAATGAGATATACCATACCAACTTTGTTGGCACTGTGCCATGACACAGGTGTGCACTGCAAGTGGACCAGTGAAGCAAGACACTGTGAGTTTCCCTTTGTGACGATGCTCTTGATGATATTTCCCAAAGATGCAAATATTCGGTTGGGTTGCTGGTGTGAACTGGGTTCCAGTACATCAAGTAGAGCTGTCATGGTTCCCAGGGCCATCGACTCTGTATAACCCAATGAAAAGAACTTTGTTGACCATCAACATAGGCAGAAAAGTGCGTCCTGTTGGAAGCATGAAGCCTATCCTTTCAGAAAACCCGAGAAATCAACCGACTAGAGAGTCAGCCAGGTCATCGCGACCGAACAAAATTCCAGTATCGAAAGCCTCCAAGAATCGCCAGACTCGTATCAGCAAAAATCCCACTGAGCCTGTGTTCTCCACGAATGATGTAGGGTTTGCTCAATTTCTGAAAAAGCACACTTCCCCAAAACACCAGCGAGTCACGGCTGGGGGAAGAATCGTTCCAATGGAGCCACCAAGGCCACCCCGTCTTGGTGGCTCATCGCCTGCACAGATGGCTGCAATAAATGACAACGAATCGATTGTTCCACATGTCTTTGTTGGTGATCAACTTGTGACTGGTGGCCGCAACAGAACAACGCAACAGAAATTCATCATTCGTTCCACGGAGTCCGATAATAACCTGCGGGAGCAGTTGGCATGGCCTCTGCCGGTAAACGCATCCCAGTTCGCAACTCCCGTCGATTCACGGGATTTGAATGTTTCCCAAACAATGGGATCAGACATTCCATATGATGAATGGATTGAGCACCAACCGCTAGACGAAGTCGAACCAGAGTTCATTCAGCATACTCCAAATGCAGTGCAGCGCCATGAGCCTACCCACCAAGCTGAGGAGCGCCGGGGAGGATGGATTTTTATCGAGACTCAGATTAACTACGAAGAAGCTGCAATTGGGCAGATTGTGTCGTTCATGTCCCCGTTTGATCTTTTCCCGGGTGACGACTATTATGTTCGATATGTAAAACTGGCGTGGATGTGCGGCCCTGATGCCATGATTGAGGCAAAGACACGACTGAATAACAAACTCCGGAATCATGAAAGATATCTGGAGGAGGTCAACGAAGTTATCGCGTTGGACCCCCATATTTCACCTGGCGATCCTTGTTATAATTTGCGTGTTTACAACATCAACGAACGGGCAAGAGTACTCAACGCTCTTGATCAATATGATGACCTCATGGGCTGTGAAGGGGCAGCTGGCATGAACAATCCCAATGATCCAGGAGGTATTGCCATCCAGCCAGCCCATCCGAATCCCGCCCACATGCACTTACGACCCGGAAGAACGATCGATAGTGGTTCATATGATAAACTATCGACTGATGGCACCAGTGAGATTGAGCGTGCTAGCAACAATCGTGGAATCGATATTATTGACCCCGACACCGGTCATCCAATCCTATTCCAGAGACAACCATTAACAACAGCAAACAACAACCGCAATGGTACAGGCCGCACGAACGGGAACAACCCAAATCGTGATAACATGCAGATTGATGGAAGCTCAGAGTTGTTGATTCGTGATGATGTAAATGGAAATCGCAACAGAAACAGAAGAAACTCACTCTTCGATCACACTCAGGTTGATAGAAGATCGGAGTTATTTCATGATGGGAATGGGATAATCGGCAATTTGCCTATAGGAAGCAATGACCCGCTCTTTGACGGCAATAGCCGATTGGACGGTCTCTTTCCTCTTGGGATGGGTTCTGATGCGGAAAACAATGGAACCATATCATGGAACCCTCAGGAGACCTGGACAAAACGTCGTCCGAGAAACGAAAGTCGCATCAGCAGAACCCTCCCTCGGAACTTCGGTCGAAACATCGCCGATTTGAGACCGGCACTGCATTCCATTACTGAACTCGACCACGAGCACGCCATCGAACTAACTAGCACAGTTGCAAATAATGGGAATACATCAAACCTCGCGTTTAGTGTGTAAGTTACTTGCCCCAGGCTGGCATTTAGAAAATACTAACTCATAGCGCCGCAGAAATGAGGGTGAAGTGAACCACGGTACAACCCATAACGGGCTTCGTTATCTTCAGAATGAATGCCCTGTCGCATCAGTTTCGAGCAGTTCAGAGGATGAGCAACAGACGATGAGAGATTCTAGTCCCGGACCTGGACTTAATGAAGAGGTGCTCTCAGAGCTTTCCTTTGATCGGCAGCACAGAGGTACTGAGATGGTGGATTACCAGGTGTCTGTCATTCCACCCGACTTTTTCGATGTGTCTGTCGTAAACGTGGAGGGTGATCGGGAAGTGGAAGCATCTGATGGAAGGAGAGGATGCCACTCAGCCGAACAATTAGAGGATTCTATGCATCACAGGTAAGTCCCATCCAAACTCCATTGCTTGTGTGAGGAGCCAGGTTTGACATATGGAAGCCGCAGTGGAAACTTCACCTTGACAATGAACAGCCTCGGAGCGGATTACCCAGACGACATGTCGGATACACCTTTGTTGTCTCAGAATAGCCCATATGGCAGGTATAGCCCTTTGTCCCGGAATAGCCCGAGCAGGGTGATCTCCAGGTCAAGTGCCCGTCGTAGACACTATGTACCTGTGGGTGGTTCCAGCAGCCCTGGGTCTCGTATGATCACATCAAGTCTGAATGCCCGCCGAAGACATGACGCACGTGAAAATATCCGAAACGCTCGTTGCTCGCTCACAAATTCATCGAGATTGATTGATGACTTGAGAGACGAAGTACCCGCAACAACTGCTCTGGGTTTCGACGCGCCAGACAGTCAGCAAAACGCCAATTATTTGCCTGTGTATTCGATGCAGTTGATTGATGCTAGTGTCCGACATACTGCGCCTGCTATTGTGAACACCAGCAGAATCAATGTGCATGCTCTCCTTTGATACTATGCAACCATAGCGTTGGGCGCTGGGGATTTGAGCCCCGGCCTAGGTATGTGTTCCCGGAGTTGCCGAAGTGTTTCAGATTTCAAATGAGAGCAGAGAAGAGAAAAGCCATAAAAAAAAAGTACGGAAAACATGGACCCAGTTCGAGTCAAAGGAAACGATATTGAAGGGATTGAGACGAGAATCTGTACGATATTATTATGTATTAATATTCTTCCAATGGAATGAAGTGTATGCTTATCATGTGTATATTGTAGAGAGATGTACTTTGTACTTTGTACGTTGTAGTTATTTATATTTGGAATGTCGCCACTCAGTTCCTTAATTCCTTAATTCCGTATTTCCTTCAGTTATGCCTAAAATTCGTGGGGGCTAATGTAGAGTTATACTGAGATGACTTATTTCTAATTAGTATTTCTAAGCACTTCTATGCCTGTTTTCCTCTGCCCAGGCAGGTGTTCTGCTCTAGTTACTCAGCACCTCTGACATATGATGTAGATGGATATTTGTAGATAGACATTTGTCCACAAATGCCCACTACCCTGCAGGTGGATTGCCCTGCCCAGATTTCAGATGACTAAGCCTTGGCCTCCGCGTCCACGGGTCCTTCTCCACTCCAATTCCTCCTTACCTTCCTCTTTTTCCCACTGGTTTCTCAATTCTTGATTTCCATTCTTTACTTGTTCTGACATGTCGTGTTATCCATGAGCCTAGTTTCCGTGGCTTTTGTCGTTTCAGTTCTTTGGGTGGACAACCCCCGTTGTACCGCCTCTTACTAACAATTGCCCCCCCGCGCGATTATATCCCCAGCCGGTACTTGGCATTTTGAAGATTACCGCCCTTTCACACATCTCATACCTTGCTTTTGCACACTTCAAATCATCTTTTAGGTCTTAGGTGACTGTCATCTCGGTCTCGATTTTGATTTCGGCGACCCACCCAATATGACACAGCTCTTCGCCTCTAGTCCGTCTGCGGTGACAAATAATGAGAAGCGCGGGAATTTCCCCGCTCTCTCCCTTCCCTCGCGAAAACACTCCAACGAGTCTAGCCACTTGCCTACGAGGATCAAGAACTTTTTCCGTATCAACAGTTCAAGCAGCCACTCTCCCCAACCCAATGCCTCAGGAAGTACCGAACGCGAACGGGATAGCCATGGGGCGGCCAAGAACGAGAAGTCTGCTTTCCGGCAGTCTCGATTTCTGCCAGGCATAGGCCGCAATCGATCGACAACCGTTGCTAGTGAAGGCAACCCACTCGACGATGCGATGTCGCCTACCGCATCCGCCAACCCATACTTTGCCCACCAGGGCCAGCCAGCATTGCGACACCGCAATGATGGGTCAGTGCCATCCTCTCCCCCCGACACCCCTGAGCTGCAAGTCACGGGGGTCTCGGCGGTGGAACAGGCGACCACTGCGAACAAAGAGGAATTAGCGCGCAAGTTACGACGTGTGGCTTCTGCCCCGAATGCCCAAGGCCTATTCACAAGTGGTCAGGGTGACCGTCCTCAGACAGCGGAACTGGGCAAGGAGCCCCTGGTGGAACAGTCGGGCGGATCAATGGGCCTCGCAGATCTAAGCAACGACGAGTCGAATCTGGCGATACCTTCTTCACTCAGCTCAGATTTCGGCAGTAACGCTTCTTTCCGCCGCACCTATAGTTCGAACTCTATCAAAGTTCGAAATGTGGAGGTTGGCCCCGCCAGCTTCGATAAGATCAAGCTGATCGGCAAGGGTGATGTTGGCAAAGTTTATCTGGTGCGCGAGAAGAAATCGAGCCGTCTGTATGCCATGAAAGGTACGTTTTACTTATACACCGGTGACTGTCTGATGCTATATACTGACTTGCGGCTAGTTTTGAGCAAGAAGGAGATGATCAAACGGAACAAGATTAAACGGGCTTTGGCCGAACAAGAGATTCTGGCTACGAGCAACCACCCGTTCATTGTCACCCTATACCACTCCTTCCAATCAGAGGATTATCTGTATCTCTGCATGGAGTACTGCAGTGGTGGCGAGTTCTTCAGGAGTGTGTTTACCTTTCCGTCCTATCTTCAACATCATTTTCTAGAATTTATTGCTGACTTGTGCATCTCTAGCCCTGCAAACCCGCCCCGGCAAGAGTATTTCCGAGGATGCAGCTCGTTTTTACGCCGCAGAGGTTATTGCTGCGCTGGAATATCTCCATCTCATGGGTTTCATCTACCGTGACTTGAAACCCGAAAATATTCTTCTTCACCAGTCTGGTCATATCATGCTTTCTGATTTCGATTTGTCCAAGCAATCCGGACCCGGGGGTGCCCCAACCATGATTCCCGCACGAAGTGGTGGCAACTCCACCACAGGGTTGCCTACGATTGATACCAAGTCATGTATTGCCGATTTCCGAACAAATTCTTTCGTCGGGACGGAAGAGTATATTGCACCTGAGGTGATCAAGGGCTGCGGTCACACCAGTGCTGTTGATTGGTGGACCCTGGGCATTTTGATTTACGAAATGCTGTACGGCACTACTCCATTCAAAGGCAAGAACCGAAACGCGACGTTTGCCAGCATTCTGCGGGATGAGGTGAACTTCCCAGAGCACTCGGGTGTGCAGCAGACATCAAACCTGTGCAAGTCCCTGATCCGTAAACTGCTGATCAAGGATGAAACTAAGCGCCTAGGAGCCCGCGCTGGTGCCTCCGATGTCAAGACTCACCCCTTCTTCCGACAGACCCAATGGGCACTCATTCGTCACATGAAGCCACCTATGATTCCCCACCAGGGTCGTGCCGGCACGGATACGGTGAACTTCCGCAACGTCAAAGAGAGCGCTAGCGTAGATATTGGCGGCACCGATTCTACTAAGATGAAGGGTGTTCCAATGGATTCGGGCCTCGCGACTCCGAACGGCGAACTCAACGATCCCTTCGAGGAGTTCAACAGTGTCACCCTCCACCACGAGGGGGATATGTAAAGCCCAGATTTTTTTTTTTTTTCGTCACTTGTTTCTTTTATCCGATACACGAGGAAAACAGCCGTATGTGCGTCGGCTCGCTGACGACCATGATGCATTAACGACTGTATTTAGATGCTATTCTTCTTCCATTGCAATCCTCGCTGGGTGTATGGAGTGTTTCGGGACTTTTTTGTTGGTGGATCTACTCGAGCTTTTTTTCTTTTTCTTTTTCTTTTCGTCCCATCGTCATGTCTTATTGCTCGTCGATTGCTTTGCATATTGCATTTTTTTCATATCCTAAAGCCTTGGATCGCTCTCAGTTGCGTCTCCAATTCAGGCACAACATAGCATCGGCACCGAACTGTTGGAATTGCCACATGGTTTGTGTCACGACTTCTGAGCTGTTGGGGGGTTCTTTTTTGCACGTCTTCCTGAAAACTGTGCTATACATTTGCTCTTTCACACTACTTCGCAGCGGATGGCGTTATGGATTCACTTTTTCGGGTTACGTCTTCCACGTGACACCTGTATTGATCAACTGATTACTGCGTGCTGTTTTCAATCTCAAATTTATGTTTTCAAGATTACCCTTGCTGTGAAGCCATATGTACGAAACTCGATGCCATTTCAACATTTGGCCTTTGTCTCAATCTATTCGATGGTCTCTCCGTGTTGCCTAATTGTCCCATCTTAAGAAATGTGCCTACAATGTGTCATTTCGCACTGTAAACAGCCATAATTTATAGAAATGAGTGTTACAAAGCAGAAACAGTTAACGCATTTCACGACCGAGCCGCCCACCCCAAAACACATAGTAAACGCGATATTTTATAACCCTATATCTTAACAACCGCGCTTTTTATTGATTTCATTATATATCGATAGCTATTGATAAGGATTTTAAATACTATATATCAATATTAAGAAAATCGAAGAGGTACATTATTACGGTATTGAAAATTACAGTGTAAAAAGCCAGAATTATATATATATCGCAATCACAAGGTTCTATATATTTCCCAAACTCCCTAGAAAAGCTAGAAATTACGTAAAAAGCATTAGCCTATAATGAAATCTCTATATAAACTGCCGTTGTTGAGAAATCAAGCTGTAATTTATCGCATTTACTATGTGTTTTGGGGTGGGCGGCTCGGTGGTGAAATACGTTAGTTAATCGAAAAGGCATCTGTAAAGGCTAAAGCTAGATGTAAATGATTGGCAAATAGAGGTAAAATCTTCATATACTAAATAGAGCACAGTAGAGTCAAATTCAGATCTAGAGCAATGAATATTGGAAGGAGGGGGGGAAAACGATCTACAGAACATAGACGTTTCGCTTAAACGATACGAAATAAGATTATCAAAATTCGAAGCGATCCCAATTTGCAAAATAATACAAACTACATAATGGGTATCTCAAAAGCCAAAGAGCGAACGTCTTCAATGCATATGATGAGGATCCGCCGCACAAGCCTTCCGACACTCCTCCAAGAGTCTCGCCTGTCTGGCAACGTGCGCAAGTCGACCAATAACCTCCTTATTACCATCATAGAAGGTAAAAACAGCATATGGAATGTTCACATCCTCACAGAATTCCCGAACAAACTGCTGTGTCTTGCGCAGATTGTGCCGCGGGATACGAGGATACAAGTGGTGGATAGCCTGGAACTGAAGACCACCATGGAAAAAGTCCAACCAAGGCGGGCAGTCAACATCCATAGTAGTGCGGAGCATCTTCTGGGGGAAAGATTCCAGCGGGCCGAGATCAGCAGTGGACATAGCGTAGTGGGACAGCGTGATCTGCACATGCAGCGGCGAAGTCACCATATGCGAGATCAGAACGAAAACGACACGGTTAAACCAAGTCGGAATGCTACACCAGACAACGCCGTATCCGAACCAAATCCAGAAGAAGATGTGGCCGGCGAACTCGAACCAGCGGTGCCACCAGCCCGCGCCTTGTTTCGGTCCGCGTCCGACGATGATGTGCTCCCAGCTAAGGAAGTAGAGGTTGAAGCGGCCGAAAAGCAGAATGGGGTAGTATAGGTAGTGTTGGTATTTGACCGTGAACTTGGCCACTGCGTCGAATTCCATGATGCGGTCGTAGTAGGTGCTGCGGAGGGAGCTGAAGAAGCGGTGCGAGAGCGCGAAGAAGGGCATCAGTTCTATATCGGGGTCGTGCTCGGGGGCGTTGGTTACGATGTGGTGCACGTTGTGGCTGCGCTTCCACCAGCCTAGACTTAGGCCGCCTAGGTAATCGGCGATGATCATGCCGATGGTGGTGTCGATTTGATAGTTGTGCGTGATACCCATGTGGCCGGCATCATGGGCGGAGAAGACGAGTTGGTGCCAGAAACAGCCGAGGAAGAAAGCAGATGTGCAAAACCAGGACTGTTTGAGGAAGAAAATGAACAATCCAAAGAAGAGGGTGTAGCGAGAGATTTCAATGGCGTAGGCTGTGTAGTTGCAGTTGTATAGTCCTGCTTCACGGATGCGGTGGTGCAGCTCGCGGTATCTCTTTGTGATGTATTCTTGGTGTTCTGCGTCAAGAGGAGGATACTTGGATGTATCCAGCTCAATCTCCTCTTGAGTTCGAGCATCGATCACGTAGGCTCGTGATTTGGTGTCGGTTGGTGGAGGGACGGCGCTGACTGCCGAGGAGATTGTTGATACTGATAGCCTGCGTCTTAGGCCCAATCTGTCGTCTTCGGCTTCGAAGATGGGAGATGGTGGGGCCGAAATCTCGTCGCTCGATAGCTCTGAGCTCACCAGATCTTCTTCAACCAGCTCATTTTCGATCAATGGACGGAATTCGCCACCTTGAATGGGAGGAAGGAAGTTGGTCCAACGGCCCTCGATTCGGCCAATTTGAAATTTGTTCATGCGCTGACGGGCTTCCTGCGAATGGAGACTTTGAGAAGAGTATTAGTATCATGCGCACATAGAATTGAACAAGAATGGAGAGGTTTTGGGAGACTCACGCATTTACTTCGTCCGTGGCATCTTTGCCAATCATATGCTTGATGGCCATATCACCTCCGGGGTGATATTTGATCCATGAGTCGAGTCTGAGAACATTGCCGTCGACAATGATAATCAACTTGCCATCGGCAAGCATGCCTTCGATTTCACGTCGTGAGAAGACATTGTCCCTAGCCCTAATCGGGGTAGACATCTTACTCATCTGATAGAATTAACCAAAGAATCCGATGAGATATGACCGTTAGTTGTTTGAGTCGAAAGGTTGAACATAGAAGAAGGATATGGCGTTTGAGACAATTATAATAAACAATTCCTCGGGGACATGTCTTGTTTGCTTTTTTACTCGCATGATGAACTCATTAATCTATTAAGTTACCTAGACTTACATAACGCCGTAGCGCAAGACATCCCGTTCCTCTCGACCCAGGGGACTGACACAAAGGGGGCAGTGTAAATTGGACTGTCCAACCGAGTTGTGGACACGGGAGAACTCCATGGGGAATGAAGAGGGGAGGTCAAGGTGGGTAATGTGTTACAATTGGATAAAGAGGTGTGACAGGGCTGTGGGCACTGTGGCGAAGATAAAATATGGATGGTCCATACGCGTATCTCGTCAACTATACCATACTTTGTATGTCCCGTTTGATAAGTCGAGCTAAAACAAGCTTAAACCTTGGGTGCCCCTGTCGGAAATTGAAAGGTTAGATCTTCAGATCCCCTATCCCATTGTCGAAAACTCGACCCCACTACATATTCATACACTATCTACGGAGTAGCACTAAATGGAATCCACAGAGAACGTTCTCCCCCTAAAAATGAATTCCTTTATGTTTCCCCTGAAAAACTCAAAAGACCATTGTATTCAAAAGTGGCGATTCGTATTCGCAAGAAGATAAATCTGACTAACCTTTCTTGGCTATTGTACCTGACTTGGGCTAAAAGTGGAAAGCCTCTAACCATTTTTGGGAAAAACCTTGACACGTGTCCAACCCAAACCCTATCTTGGATAACTTTATTATTATTCGGGTCAAGGGACCAGGTCCCATAAATCTAGAAATGAAACGTCTGTGAACAGTCGAGACGAAAAAGAGATCTTCTATTTCTGCCCCTCTAGTACCGCTCGAGCCCCGCATCTGGGGCGACTGGCTAATACCGCCAATTTCCCTACTTAAGGGCACTTACGTATTCGCTTTCGTTTCTTTCTTCTACGTAAGGGAGTCGCCACTTGACCACTTGCATTGTGTCTTTCTCTCCTTTCTGGGTCATGTTGTCATGATCCACAATATGCGATAACGGTGAAGACCATTATTCCAGAGGGACATGATCATAATGTGGAAAACGCAAAGCCAAGGCTCATTTCCTACGCTAGAGTTAATCCGTTGTTAGGGCTGCAAATTCACACTGGGCTATATTAGTTGAATTGGCAATTTAAAATCAGTCACTCGACGCGACGATGTCAGAAACTATCCATGTAGAACTAGGCTTCCACGTAAATAAAGTAGAGGCGCAGGTGGCTCGTATGACTTGGACGCCGCGGTAAAGGACCTGCGCATTTCGCGGGGCAAGAACATTTTCTGGAGTCTGCCGCCTCCTAATAGACTTTTGGCATTGGGCTTTCAGGGGAACTAGTCCTAAAATCGCCTATGGTACTATGGTGCTATGTATCTTGTACGAGTACGGAGACCACAAGGCAGTTGCGATAAAGGATATCCACTTCTAAATGGGGAATTCTGGATCGGGAATGAGACAAAATATTTCTGAGTTCACATTCACACATAATAATCCTAACTACTGTATGTTGGATGAAGGATCTGTGATTTTCGCAATCAACCGTTTGACTTCAAGTGAAACTAGTCCATACCCACCAGTTAGGGAAATGATCTCGAAAATATCAATTTTAAAACTTCGCCTCAGGCAGAACTATAAATTCAGAACTTGATCCACTCGAGCACTTCACTAGCCCCAGTCGATATTTGGGAAGGCTTGCATCCTAGTCGAAAATTGGGTCGCTAGGACCGAATTGCGAGCTTTGTCCC